GATATGGTCCTAATTCAATCATTCCGTATTTCTCTATATTTGTCTTATGGCTTTTTCTTTGTATTGTTTACTATCTAAGGAATCTTCTTCATATTCTATATCCTGTTATTGTATTTTGTATTTCTGAAACATCAAATGTCTACTTTGAATCAATTTTAATATCCTATCTGTAATAAATATTAAGTTTTTTTGTGATAAATTAATGTATTATACGATTTCGCATCAATCTGTCACACACTACAAGCCCTATTGCAAAAACGTGAACGTTTTTTTGTTTTTTGTTTATTTATGAGTGGGTTGTAAAGTATTTCATGATTTACATTACGGTAACGTACAGCTACCTTTAAGTACCCGCGCTTTGAGCAGTTTCGCGGACCCTGGGAGCGCACGCACAACTTCTGCGCGGCTCAGCGTATGCAGTCCCTGGATAGATAGTTCATTAGAATAATCATTATCATCCATTTCTTCTAGGGTGGACTAGGCCTAGACTAGGCCTAGGCTACGCAACATAACAAAGTAAAACAGGATTTCTCAACCTTCAAACTTTTAAGGTTGGTGAAATTCACATCACGCTGTAAATTTTGCAATATAAAATAAGTTATGAATGAATTAGTACTAGTAGTAGGTACCGTATAATAGCAAACAGTATGGCAAATTATTATTTGGCGCATGTAAGTAAGCCCATCCATCCCTAGTCCTAGACCATTCTATTTAAAGTTCATAAAATTCACTAACCAACCAGGCAGTAGTAGTATGGGCGGCTATTAATTAATATAAAACAAAAATAGCAAATCGATTGCTAATTTATTCTTGTTTTTTTATATTGTAGGTTTGTGGCATCCATCCATAAAACAGTATTATAAACGTCGTCGTTCGTAGTCTCATTCAACAATAAACACAGAACCCTCGGCCTCATACATGATCATGATGATGAATTAATGATAAAATACTAAAATACTACTAAAGGGTATTAACAAATTAGTATAAAAATAACCCACTAGTACTAAACTAGGCCCTAGTGTTAGGGTGATTCGGGGTACTAATAGGCCTAGGTCTATAAATAGTTACAGTACTACTTTACTGACAGTATAGGCCTAGACTCTTCGGTCATTGCATGGCCTGTATCAATTTCGAAGTATGCACACAGTGGTCGAATCCTACTCTAGTCTCTATCTAGGCCCTACGCCGGAATGTTTTTTTTTTTTTATTAGATCTAACATGTAATATCATTAAGCGTTTATTTAATAAAGTATACGTACCACGGTACAATTTTTTCTTGAATTAACTGTACGTCACGAAAAGGAAGTTGAAATATTTAGACAGGTGTGTAGCGCATGAATGAAAATTACATTCAAATCGCCAGCGCCAAAATACTAACATAAACAAAAGGAGTGACATCCGCAAAGCGCGTCACACCATGTCCAACTGACAGGTTGCACGCGTAGAAAATGATGTTGCTGAAATGATGGCGATATAAAATATAGAGATAGGCCTAATTATCAAAATTATAACAGCCCGGGTAATAGCAAACAACAATAACAATATGTATTATTGTAATTAGAAAAATATGAATTAATGAAAAAAAGTAAGAAAAATAACAATATGTTATATAAGTAATATATAAATAGGCCTAATCATAATTAATAATGACAATAACGACGATGAAGGCAATAACGATACTACTTCAGCGCTCTTTTAAGGTAACCGCTCCAATGGAAAAGCACTTCCCATCCCATAGTTCAAAAAAATAAAATAACAATTGTAGGCTGAACAATTGTAGGTAGAACTTTTAAATTTATTAAGAAATATTTACAAATTATTTTAGGAATGATATTCTCTATATTTGTCCTATGCCTTTTTTTTCATTGTATTTTTTAATATCTAATGAATACCTTCTTCATATTCTATATCCTGTTATTGTATTTCTGAAACATCAAATGTCTACGTTGAATCAATTTTAATATCCGATCTGTAATAAATGTTTAATAAGTTTCTGTGATAAATTAACGTATACAATATGATTTTGCATCAATCTGTCACGCACTATAGGCCCTATTGCAAAACAACGTTTACGTTATTTTTTTTATTTATTTATTTTTTTTTTAGTGAAGGGAAAATTTCTAGCCTGGGTCTGCCAAAATCATTATGTTTGAATGTTTTATGTTTGGAGAATAGATTAAGTGTGTGTGACTGATTTTATTAGACATTTGTCGCACGAACCTGCACTCGTCTAGGCCTACCCAAGTACTGTACCATTAAAAATACAAACTTCAACATCTAGGCCTAAATACTATTTGTAATCAATAGGTCTATAGAGCAGCACACAATACATCGGATTTTGATGTATATCTTTGGTGTGTAATAGAATCCCTATAAGAAAGACCCACACTCAACATTGGTCCCCACATTGGCAGAATCAACATCCGGGAGATCTGTTCAATAAGTGTTCTTTAGACATTTAACATTTTGTTGTACATGCATGGTAATACCATGGTAATACCCATTATGATTAGCACTAGCTGCTGGGAGCCAATTGGCAGTAGTAAAAACTTGCAAAAGCATTGAAATATCATCATGAATTTGCGGGAGTACGCGTGTGAGTGGTGGGAGTCCATCCTGCGAATTTCAGGAAACTCCATTCCGGAACTCTGCAGGAGACTTCGGACTCCTGGACACTAAATGTGGTCTTTAGATTTCTCTAGTTGTAGGGAAATTTAAAAAAAATAATGCATTATATGTTTTAAAGTCGATGTTATCGCATGCTGTTAGTTATTCGTAATTAACATTTTGACAGCCAGACATCAACTTGTCTTTCCATTAAAATACTGTATATTACGAACATGTACATTGCCACCGTAAATTATTGTTATTCAATACCGGTACACAAAACAATGTACACAAAACAGTGCATTGGCTAATATTTCTATTCATTCCTTTAAAAAAAAAAATTCAGGCAAAGAAGTGTCTGCAACAACATAATTAAACAATAATAAACATCAATTCATATACCGTGAAATGTATGTAGAATACTATAGAAAAGTAATCTTTTTTATTTATTTACTTTGGCCTAATTAATAACCTAAATAATACTATTTTACAAAATTAGTCATATAGTTTGCTAAAGTGACAACGTAATCGATTTACGTCAATAACCACCGAATATTCTGTTAGCAGAATGATTAAAATTACTGAATAAAAAAAATTACGGCTAGTGGAACAAGCAGGGAACAAGTAACAAGAAGTTATATATAACACAATTTATTTGAAAAAAAAATTGCATGAACATCACTAATGGTCTTTAATTGGAAGAAAAATTGTCAGTTGGATCAACCAAAACCATAGTCTCCAAAACTAGAGGGAATAGGCCTATATTGGAGGGAACAGAATGATAAAATGTAGGCTTTCAACCGGGGCCGCAAAATGTAGTCTTTAATTGGAGGGAAGCCTGTATTTTCAATATTGAAAAGTGTAGGCCTACTTATTATTATTGTGAATAGATTGAAATTATATCACAGGTCTACCTCTATCTAGATAAAGACAATGATAAATAGCAGAAGATAGAGCAGCTTCCCAATAGTGGAACATCCGTTCAAAAGGCATTTGGGTACACGGAGAGCAATTTTACTGCAACCGCGCGGCGGCGCTATATAAAAATAATAAAGGCGCTGCTCTTGTTCGCTTGTTTCCTTTATTTTCTCCGCTTAGTAAAATGTTCAAATTTTACTGCAACCGCGGGAGGGCGAATGTTCCATCGATTTTAATGCAAATACGCGGAGCAGCTCATTCTTCTGCTATTTAAGTTCTTTGGTAAAGACCCCTCCAATTAAAGACCACTTTCCTGTCGTCCCAAATTAACAATTGTCTTTTATCTTTATTAATCAGAGACCAAGCTGCCAAAGACAACGGAAACCCTGACCCCAGAAGTGGTCTTTAATTAGAGGGAGACCAATATTTACGATGATTATTCCAGGAAATCTTTTGGAGCTGCTACCGTAATACAAAGACATTTTGACGATGTTATGTTGTGCTCTACAGTGAAATGGAGGGGTGTGGATTCGATTATATATAATTATATATATTGTATATGGCCTATCCATTTTACAACAAAAAGCTCTTACATATAAAAGGCCATCGAAATTCAAAACCCACCTCCATGAACCATTATGAAAATGATACAAGACATTCATCATATCCTGTTCTCGATTTTTTTTTCCGCTCGTACGATCGTAAGCTTTCAATTCTCTCATTCATACACTCAAACTTAAGATTGATCCAAAACAAAACACTTTTACCAAGGAATAGAATTTAATGGCCATCATCAAATATATTTGGAATGTAGATTACTATATAATATGTACAATCAAGGTAACAATCTAATACAAGCCTGTCCAATTTATAATACTGTACATAACGCTCAAACAAAACTGTGCGTCCTAAAGATGCTTAACTATAGAGGGCGGAGTCTATTGTATAGAGAACGCTTTCCTTATTCAGATGCTTGTGCTATAGTTCGAGTGATATCATTCATTATTATCTATATCATAAATAATATTAATATTTTTTATATGGTGAAATAACCTAAATGTAAGTCTAATTTCTACAAAAGATCTTTATATCTCAGCTATCAGACAGAATGGGTAATAATTATTTGATGAGCAATTGAGGACGGAAGATTTCTTTTTATTAAATAGCACTGCAAATTAAATGTTGGAAATTAGGTACACTGTAATTAAATTAAAAAAAAGATAACATATAAATTAGAGTAACAAAATTAATAACAAGTGAAATAGGGCAATAAAATATGTCAGAATTTGTCTTTAATTAGGTACACTGTAATAAACTCAAAATTAAAACCATAACGTAAATTAGAGTAACAAAAATTAATATTAAGTGAAATTGGGCATTAAATTGTGTCATCACACAAATTTCAATGAAATATTTAATACAGGAAATTTAAAATTGAACGAACAAAAGCAAAACCACCTGTTCATTGAAAGTACCTGATAATTAAATTAGAAATTGTAAAACTATAATAATAGAAAATTATAAATCGAAATTGAAAGTTACACAAATGAGTTTTTAAAAAATGAACCCAGAAATATTGAATGTTTCAACCAATCACATAAAAAATCTGATAAAACCTCTCCCTAAAAAGATTTAATAATAAATATAATTCATGAAAAAAGTACAATTAATCAATGAGAATAATGAATATATTCTTTATTAATTAATGCATTAATTTTGTTTTTATTAAAAGTAATTAATGAAAAAAATGAATCTGTAAGTGCTACATTATAATCATTCTGATTGGATGTTATTTTATGTATGGATTGGATTAGAACAATAACATTCAATCAGAATTACAAACTGGTATGACTGGTGTAACAATAGCCACTGACTTAAAAATAAGTATTGTAAATACAATTCATATCAATTAATTATTTAAACGGTCGCTCATGATTAATTTGTTGTTGCATCCAGCAACATATATGGATTGGATGAGAACAATAACATCCAATCAGAATTAAGACCTGGTTTATGACTGGTGTAACAATAGCCACACACTTAAAAATATGTACTGCATATACAATCCACATCAATTAATTATTTAAATAGTTGCTCATGATTAATTTATTGTTGCATCCAGCCTCATGTTCTTGATTCTTGCAGGTCATCAACCTCTTCTAACCTAGGTTGCTGTAATTGTGCGATGTTGGACACGGGATGTGACCATGTGGACATTTGGTTCTGGTGACTGAAATGGTGAAAGAATAGAAGAAATAATCAAAATAAATACAATATAAGGATAGACTAATTATATATGTTATTTAGCCAACTGTATTTTTGCAGACGCAGTCCGGAACAGGGGAAATAGTTTATTTTTCCAACCTTGAGGTTAGAGTTCGAATCTACTGTGCATTTCACTTGTGTCCTAAGCAAGGCGGTTTATACATTGCTTCAACCTGCTTAGCTGTATCAATTGGCACCACGCCTACTGTAGGGTTTAGGCAAACTCTAACTTCATCATCAAAGAAATAAAAAATTTCAGTATAATATAAAATGAAGTGTGACTACTCACTTGAGGTAATACTTCATTCCATCAGCTGTATACGCTTCTTCCCATCCATACGGCAGTGCTGAAAAAAAAATAAATAAAATTAACACATCATTTGTGACTGGCTCTGGTAAAACCAGCCGGTTGTAGGAATTAAAAATTAAGTTTTTAATGTTTTGCATGCATTCTTCTTTAAAACAGTGTATATTTTATGGAAATTGGTTGAGTATTAGCGAAGTTATGAATATTTAATTCATTGGATATCAGTCATGTAGGTTTTGAGAAAACAGCTTCCAAAGATTCCAAAATTAATAGTTTATTATTAAGATTTGTATTTAAAAAATAATTTTAATATACTTTTTAGTTAGATTAAGTGATTGATATTTTGCATCAATGTTCTTCTTTAAAAAAAAAACCTGAAAATGTTCAAAATTCTGATTCTCAAACGTTTTGGGTGCTTGTGGGAAACTATAAATTGTGACAAATGAAGGGTTTTGCAAGAGCCGGTCACACTTGATAACAACTCTGTTTACTATACAAAACGTTGGTGTAGTGACCTCCCTCAAATCTTGAGGTCTTAGGTTCAACTCATGCTGTTCCTCATGTGCTCATTCCAAACAAGCTGGCCTCACTAAACCAGTCCCCATAATGAGAGATATTGTCTTAAACCATGTTTTCACTTACGTTCTGATTCCATGAGGGATTTTACCGCTTTGACAGTATCGCGGGCCTCAGCGGCCAGGTTGATGGGACCATTGCGTCCATGTTGTGCCAAGTAACCTGGAGGGTAGTAGCCATTTTCACCTCTCCTAGCTGCCTCACCTCGACTCCTGGTAAAAAGAAGTTTTACAAAAAACCTATTAATAAATTCTGGCATAAGACAGCTAAATTAAAGATAAAATTTCAAAACACTTAGGGGTAGGGGTGGGGGAGTTATTTTCAAAAGGTGTTTAAAGCCCAATTCCTGGCAAAATTTCACTAAAAATGTATATGCATTACCCTAATTATTATAAACCATGGAAAAATATTGCCATAAATTTTAGTTTTATGCAAAAGGATAAAAAAATGAGAAATAGAGACTATTTCTCATAGGAGATTACCATTTTCTCGATGACCTCTTCATTACTAGGCAAATTCAGAGGTTGTAGATCGCATCCGCTGGAATGCTCTCGCTTTTGTGTATACTTTATACAGTCAATAAAGTGTACCCTCTCTAATGAGATTAGTTATTGTACTTCGCATCTCGCACGCTGCGGTCGATCGAGTACGTCTGAGATATATTTGTTTAATTGTCAAAATCTTCTGTCAGAATCATTTTTTTTAACAAATTTGAAATAATTCCAATGAAAATATTATATTTCACAAGTGCCAATACTAGCAACTGAAAATATCATGTCGGCCGTTTTTGTGTCTGATAACAGAACAAAAATCGAGGTAAGGCTAGGCCTAACATAGCAATGTTGATAGGCTAATGTTTCTGGCACCTACTATATTTCTTCGCAGACCTATTGCAAAATCAAACATAAAAAATTCATCCGCGTTTATTTTTTGTGTAAAACGCAAAAAAAAAAATCAAATTTCAGTCTTATTTTATATTTTGTCCATGTTTAGGAAAGTCTAAATTCAGTTAAACTAGCAATTTCGTATTATATTTATAAATCTTTATAACTTATATAAAAATCAGATTTTCCTTAACAACTGAAATTTTGCTGGGAATGGGGCTTTAACCCTCTATTTTGAGTAAGAGTGTTACCTTGCACCTGGTCCATTATGCTGGTCCATCAATGTCTCATGCACTAACTGAAATATGAACATACAACCAAAAAATATTTATATCTAAAATTTAATATATTTGATGAGAGTCATTATTAAAATAGAAGACAATAAAGGTTTTGTGATGTTTAGGAAGATTATCAACAGATATTTTCATACACAGATGAATAATTAGGACATTTCTTTATTTCATTAATGATTTTCACAATGCCTTACCTCAGAAAATTTCAGCAGTTTATTCGTTGATACCTCATACACTTTCTTGCCCACCTGACATTTCCTAAGTTCACACGACAAAATTGCCAACTTTCGTTGAAGGTTCCCAGAGCTTGCGTCCTGCTTCTAAGCAAAACAAACATAAATTATTACCCTTTCTTACAAGTAAGTACTTTATCTGCACTGCTTCTCTCCACCCAGGAGTTAATCTATCTGGTGGGATAGTAACTGAGGATGTTTGGAGCAACTGGAATAATTTCCATTGAGTAGAATAGGTTCCACATATTTCACGGTTGCTTATTAAATCCAGTGATCATGGCACTGGCTTGAGGCTTTTTACATAAGGCTCTATGTAAATGTATAAAAATACAGGTCTCGCTCCAATTAAAGACTACTTACAGAACTGGGATTCCCATAGTCTTTAGAAGCTTTAATCTCTAATTTGAATAATAAAGATAAAAGACATTTGTTTATTTGGGACCACAAAGTGGTTATTAATTTGATGTGGTCTTTTAATCGGAGGGGTAATAATAAAGACGAAAGACATTTGTTAACTTGGAACCACAGGAAAGTGGTTATTAATTGAAGGGGTCTTTAATTAGAGACCTGTATACAAGATATAATCAATCTGATATTTGATGTTTCATTTACAGTTGCGGGTGTTGGCGATGCCTTGTTCTGCTTCAATTCCCTCCTCAGGTCGGCTATCTCTTTCTCCAGTAGGCCTACAACTTCTTCGTAATCAATCTCCATATTGCGAGCTTCTTTCTGTGCGGCTTCGGCAAGGTGAACTCTGCTCTTAAGAGCCCGGCTCTCATGAATCGCTCCTTGGGCCTCCTGTATAAAAAAATATTTAAAAATTACAAAAAATATACAAAATGTACAAAAAATATTTAAAAATTATTAAATTAGTTATTTCACATTCTCTTGTGAGATTCACAAATCCTCAACAACAGCAGCTTTCGTACAATCGTATTTGCCAAATACTCTGTCTCAAAATATCACGACTAAATCTCACACTATAAAGGTTGGTTCACATTGAACAATTAAGACAAGTTATCTAAGTGCAAACAAAGCTGCTATGCCCAATGGCAGATTCAATTTGAACCCAGCCAGCCCAAGCCCCTAAATTTTTCAAAATTATTTTTAAAAAAATGGAGACGGAAAGAAATCTGTATTCAAATTTAAGTCAGAGAGTGCCATTTCAAACTATTTAGAAATGGCATAATCATAAATTTTAAGATCCTCCATCTTTGAAAGCTTCTCTTTGGGCCTAGTGCTAAGTGGGAACAAGGCTTAAAAATCCATCCGTATTACACAACTGCTCATCACATCTTTAGTAGAAAAATTGACATACTTTATGTAATTATAAATAAAATGAAACATTTTGGGAATGATCTTACTCTTCTTATGCGCAACAATTCTTCTTCGGCAATATTACAGGTTGACTCCTTCTCATTTAGCAACCCCTTTAATATCAACAGAAATAAAACCAAATATCAAGTATAGTAATAATACAGTAATAATAATAGTCTAAACATTTACACCGGCAGCTTTCCACTTTCTATTATTAAACCAATTCACTGGATTGAGCACTTATAGAACACACGCTCAGATCCCTAAGGGAGCATTCCATAATTCTGCAGCTAGTGAAAAAAAAATTAGCATCAGTAATGATTTACCTTATAAGATCTTATTCCTGTAAAATTAAATATAGTTTTCATTAGTTCAGTTCAAATTTAGCAGATAAATGTAAAACAATGTTTTTACCTTGAGTCTCTCCACCTCCAGAAGTGCTTCATCTCTTTCTTGCTTTAGTTGTTCCGTGTTTTCATAAACAGGCGATAACACTTGTGGTACCTATGTAAAAAAGTATACATTGAATGAAACAAACAGTACTTTTTAATAAGGTCATACTACAACTGTGAAGAGATCAGTGGCGCAGCAGTAAGGTGGTAAGCTTTGGACTGCATGTATCCTGGTTCGGTACATTCCAATACCAATCTTCGCTTGAGTAATAAACTTTAGTTTAAACTACCTCATGTTTGAATGATATACCTGTATATGGTCTGTCTCTTATACACATCTAGATGTGTATAAGAGACAGGTGGAGTGGAGGCTTAATGATTAAGTGCTGGGGTGCTAGGTCACAAAATAAGGCGATATGATTTTTAACTACTTGAGCATGAATTTTTTGCTTTGGACATTTTCAAGGGGGGATGCAAGCATTTTTTTTTTTTTTGGAAGGGGGGGGGGTGGGGTCATGCACTCTCCCTTAGATACGCCACTGTTTCTTACCTGTGGGATAAATGGTGGCGGCTCCGCAAAATCTGTGACATCATGGGCCGCAAACATCAATGAAGTTGCGGATATTCCATGATCATCCAACTGGAAACGCAGCACTTCTCTTGCAGTTCGAACAAAATCTAACAGAAAATGAAAAGAATAAAAATCAACATTAAAATTTGTTCACTAGCTTAGAACATGTTAATAAACTGTAAACTAAAACATTTAGGGCACAAACAGAGGTCAAAGGTCTATTTAAACTTACAAAACAACTTACAATCACAGAGTTTAGGGATAACCCATTGTATAAAAGGAATTTACAATCTATCTATATTTATGGTTCACTAGGCAAAAGTTGACTATCTTATGAATATTCATAAGGGAGTGAATGAAAGACTTTTAAATAATTTTATTTGAAAATTTAATGAACAATATGTTATACAAATTATTATGTTATTTAAGAATTGTATAATGAATTGTACCAGCAATTCTAAGTACTACAATATTAAAAATATTAAAACTTTTGTGAACTCATAAATTCAACACCAAGATTATGTGAAAACTTCATTAATATATAAACTATGTTCACAAACATCTTGATTAAAAAGGGCTTTTACCGAATGGTACTCAGAGGTCCTTCGGGACTTCTGGGCGGAATCGCTATCAAGAGATTTCGGAAGCACAATCTTTGGAAATTATGGCTGTTGGTTGCCTCTAGCACTGACGCCACAAGACAAGTTAAGAACAGACTTATCACATTATAGTTGTAGTTTAAGTTAACAACAGAAGATGGTATTTGTGAGTCTGACAGCAAATATGGTCTGGAATGTAGAATAGAGGCGGCGCCAGAAATACCCCGATGAGGGGTCCAAGCTCCTCGACAAGATCCATCTCCCGCAGATGGTGAAGCCTAGCATCGCACCCCACCTAAAAGCATAGTATACAACACCTCGCACATACAGTAGCACTGCTCACACTAAACAGTTTCAAATCCCTAAAATTTGACAGCTTAGTCGAGCATACCTAAATTGTACTTTCAGCAGTCGCGATTTCATTTTTACCGACGACCTTGCTGGAAAATCCCCAGAGGTCCCCGAAGAGGGTCCTTGCCCCCACCCTGGAACCCCTGCTAGCGCCACCCCTGATGGAGAATACCCTGATCATAAGCCTTGATACTACTAAACTTACCTCCATACGGAACCATTCCATTTTCATCAATGGTAAGACGCCGCCTCAATTCCATCTTCAACGCTTCATCTGGTTGCAGACCCAAGTACTGGAGAGCCTACAAAAAAATTTTAAATATGAATTATATCCTATTTGGTATCTACTTTACCAGCCAAAACACATTCGATAAAAGGTTGTTCCGGAAGCCTTTAGAAAAAAAATTTATCAAACCGCCTTAAAAACCAACCTTGCTCCTTGATTGGACAACACAACTACTACATGTTTCTCTCTAATTAAAGACCACCTCCAATTAAAGACCAGTTTTCTGTAGTCTCATATTAACAAATGTCTTTTATCTTTATTATTGTAATTAGACACCAAAGCTGCTAAAGACCACAGGAACCCTCATTCCAAAAGTGACATACACACATAGACATAGACCTATACTTGCAGCCTAATTATCAAGATATTTTGCGCTTATTACCAAATACCTACCACTTCTAGTTTGTCTATTCGCAGGCGGACTTGTGGGTCAAGAGAGAGTCTTCGGTTACGTGACATACGGCTGGAACTTGAACCGAGTCCGCTGGTTGACTGTGAGTTTTGCTGACTGGATAATGTTGTCATCCCAAGGTGAGGTGGCCCATGTTGCATCACTGGGGAAGGGTCACCTGTTGAGGTGATCTGAGGTAGTTGTAATGATGCACCTGGTGATGTTGCTGAAATACAATTAAACATGATTCAATAGAATGTTTTCAACCTTGAGTTGGGGGATTTGAAACCCTTGCTGTATATTTTGCTTGTGTCCCAAGGCTGTGCCCAGACCTTAAAATTTTCAAAAAAACTGTTGTATGCCCATATATAGTCATGATATACCTGTATATGGTCATGATGTGATGTCATCACGACCATATTCAGGCATGTCACAAGTTTTTGTCAAATCAAATGTTATAGCCTGAACAGGGCATCATGCTGTATCCACATTATCAAATTTTATTTGACAAATAAATGTGATATGCCCATATTTGGGTGTAATATGATATCACCATGCCCATATATGGGCACATCACACAGATTTGTCACACAAAATGTGATAGTGTAGACAAAGCATTATGACTGTCTCTCCCCACCTAATAGTGTAAGTGGGTTAAGCCTAGTTCCCCCCTTGAATCCGCCACTGCTAGTATGTGTTAGATATGCGTCTGATCCATGACTAGGGGTAGAGGTCTTGTTGATATAACTATTATAATACTAACATATTATCAACAAAACTTTGTAATATTGGAAATGATCAATTTTAATAACTGTTCAACTTACTATTGGCATGATCTGCCTGAGGTGTTGAAGACATCTTAGGTTGAGCATGAAGCCCTTGTATATGAGAGGGTAAGGCTGACAAAGGGGTTTGATGTGGAACATCCCCATTTGCATAATGGATTGGTCCATTTGCTGAACCAAGCTGATAGCTCTGCATATTTGTACTGGGTGAAGACACTTGCTGGATAGGGGAGTTGCGCACCTGCTTTTGTAGATGTGGTGAGTTTATACGTGGGGCAGGATTGGTCTGTGACGGTGACCTTTGTACTGATGCGAGATGTGGACTAGGGGTCATGTGATTGACCTGTGATGCTTGCATCTGTGCCACCAGCTCAGAGGGGTGGAGATAATTTGGAGAGGAATTATATCCAAGTCTGCTGTGTGGACTAGAGTGGTTTGATTGATTATAAGAATGAGGGGTGTCAAGGTGGGATGAGGGGGTGTAATTTGAGGATGGATTTGTAGGCTGGGTGCTAGGCATAGGACTTTGGGATGAAGTATTCTGCAAAGAGGACCGTATGAAATGTACTGTTGTTGATGGTTTCTCAGTCCTACAAGAAAATATACACAGACAAATATTATAATTAATATTAATAAAAAGTAAAATAATTTAAGAAATACTAGAAAACAAAGTTAAAATGTCATAATATTGTATTACATATTGTCAAAATCTAATTGCCCATCTTAAAATACCATTTATATAATCAACAAGTTCAAATTTCAGAGGTAAGGAGGGAAAGCTAAAGATAAAAATGTTTACATAAACTGCCCTACAATTTGTATACCAGTATTTTTTTTTATTACTGCACCATGGTTGCATAAAAGGATATTAGTCAATTATGTTTCCATAAAAAAAAAAAAAAAAAAAAAAAAAAACCAGTGTAACCGCGTAACCGTAGACCTAATTATGTAACGGTATGACTGACTTACAGATGCCTAGTGACTGCATTTTGGATGGCTGGATCTCAGTAGAGATACAAAAATGATAAGCAACAGCTAAAAAGTAAACGTAAGTAAACAGCCAGAAATAGAACCAGAGCTTTCGGACAACACTAGTCCTTCCTCAGTGGCGATATATATATTGCCTTCACTACACTCATACTATCAGTGAATTGATTTCAGAATTGTCCAGATTTCAGTTTACTAACCGACATGAAGCTAAGTAATGTAATGTATTTAGGAAGGAATCTGGACAGATAGGCTACTGTGAGGGTTTGTGCATGTGAGTGTTTGGGTTTTGAGTGACTGAGCGTTTTTATTAGCGTATCTTTCTAGTTATTTATGTGTGTGACTGGTTATTCTTTTACCTTAATTTAATCCTGGTCATCAGGGCTTTGACCTCGTCCTGCTTGAGACCAATCAAAGTCTGACCATCCATAGCAACTAGCTGGTCACCGACTCTAAGCCTACCATCCTGCAAAGCCAACATTAAATTACATAAATAGCAAACATACAATAAAAAGTGTTCCCTCACAATGCCATTACATAAAGCTCTGCCAAAATATATGCCTAAATATGTCTTATATAGCTAGAGGTACATATTTTCCTTCTGAACAGTTTGTTGAATTTGTAATAAAGAAATAAATATGGTCATGATGACATCACATCATAACCAAATATAGTCACACCATGACTATATATTACAGCCAACATTAAATTACATAAATAGTAACATACAATAAAAACTGTTCCCTCACAATGCCATTACATGAAGCTCTGCCAAGGCTATCATATTTTATTTGACAGAATCATGTGGCATCATGCCAAAATATGTCTTTTATATCTAGAGGTAGCCACTTTTGTGTTGGGCCCTTGATATATTTTCCTTCTGAACAGTTTGTTGAATTTGTAATAAAGAAATAAATATGGTCATGATGACATCACATCATAACCAAATATAGTCACACCACGACTATATATGGGCATACAACAGTTTTTGTCAACTAAAATTTGATAGGACAGGACTAGCTCAACTGCTTGATTATAGAAGCAGTTGACGCATCGGTTGTGGCTTGGACTCCCAACCTCGAAGTCGGGTGTTCGAAACTCTCGCTGTGCAAATCTTGTGTCCTTCGGCAAGGCACTTTATCTACGGTTGACCGGGGTAGTAATGTGAAGCGCTTACAGGCTTTGTGCATGAAGCGCTATATAAGAACGACATAAATATTATTATTATTATTATTAATGTAACGGCAAGAACCTTAACCATTAAGTTAACTTGCTAATGAATTAGGTACCATAGCATAAATAAGCAAAAAGGGATTAAAAAAAAAAAATATCCTTTTTTTATATTTTCCTAATCAACAGGGTTTTCCAAATGCTAATTCATCCCTTTTACACCAGCTCAAATTTTCTAAGCATGTCTCCGAACTGCACATTTTATAGTCCATTAAACATCATCAATGACTTGCATTTGTTAACACTGATATCACAACTGTCATATGCATTAATTGCGAATTAGGTTATGAAATAGAGCAAGATGGCAAATTATTTAATAAAGAGGTTTGTCACAAAAGAATATCTAATGTTATACATTATTGACCAACATATCAACTTACATACATACTATGTTAAAATACAATTTAACAAAAATATACTTCTAAAAAAATAGACAGAATTAGGTCATATAAAAAAAAAATTGATCAATTTTTATGACCATCTTTTTGGTATAATTCTTATTATTATTATTAATATTATTAATCATTCAATGTATACATTATTTCCATAATATAACAATACAATATTAAACAATCTATTACCTTATTTGTTTATAGAATCGATAATTGAATATTAGAAGCATAGATGCATTTTACAATTTACATTTTCAGTCTTTCATAATCTATCCATAAAACTAAAAATTTCCATGAGAAAAACATGTTGTTAAAGTAGAACTACATAATGTGGACATATCCTAACACATTTGCAGAGCATTGACAACATAACATTTTCTATGAAGGGTATTAGCCCTAATACATAATGATCTGTACTGCCGGTTTTATCTTTCAAAAGAGGCGTTACGGTGTAATCCAAGTAGCTAACATTACTGACCAAAACAAGTTTAAGTCTAGCAAAGTAGAAACAAGATATTTTTAACACTTTCTTTTGTATTTTACTTTACTAAAATACTTAATTTTTTTTAATCATTATTTTTATGATTATGATTTTCATTATCATTAGCCTTGTTTACGCGGCCGTTTCTATATGATAGGTAACACAGATAATCTCCAGTCGCATGTCTACACGATGAAAAAATTATTGGTTGCACCAGAAAATCACATAATTAAACCTGACCTGAAAAAAGTGTGCGCATTGCTGCTTGTTTCGAAAACCTTTGTCAAAAAGTTTTAAAATGTATGTACTTGATAAAAACATAATTCTATCATGTTGACTGTCTGTTAGCAAGATTACGCAATAACGGAAATTCAATTATTTACCCTCAATCATAAACAAAAATAATGGAATCCCCTGCAATGTAAATGGTAATGCTGTTCTGTGCCATTCACCACCAGCAGTACCCCACTGGAAATTAGTCTTCAGACTTAGTGGGTTAAATTTGGAGCAATTCACGCTAAAATACTCCTCCTAAAAAGCCTACAAAATATTCATTACCTTATGACAGTCTCCACCCACAATGATGTGATCAATGTAAATGATTGGTCCATCAGACTGGTCAACCCCGCCTCCAATACTTAGACCCAAGCCAGCAATCTTTGGAATTGTAATTTGCTGCACATTCTCCATTCTAGTAACACAGACAAAAACATTAAATATCAGTAGTGAAAATGAACGTTGTGTTTATAAAAAATAATTTGCATAGAAAACTGCTCAACTTTCTATGTTAAATTTTTTTTTTTTTTGTCTCAATTTAATTTCTCTTATTCTTATATTTTTATTGTTTCAATAAACCAATTTGTAGTTTGAACTGCACATGCCCGTATTAAGGTCAATTGACATAATCAAACATACACACAACGTAGTTTTAAGGCGACTGAACTGCTTTAGAGTTTTCGACGACACTGAATGGTAAATTGAATGGGGCGCCTTCTTGATTGCGTAAGGAAGAGTTACGCAGTGTAGCAATTGCAGTGTAAAGGCTGTAGCAACATTGTAGCAATTTTATGGAAATAAGTCTATATATTTTGTGACATTCTCACCTTTGGGCAGTTATTCTACTACTGGTCATCGACGATGATGATGCTATGCTTCTTGGAGAACCTATATTGAGAGATAACAATGTGTATTAAACCCTGCCCAAACTGGCAAAAACTGCTGCATGCCCATATATAGTCATGATGTGCCTATATATGGTCATGATGTGATGTCATCATGACCAAATTTAGGCTTGTCACATGCTTCTTGTCAAATGAAATTTGATAGTCTGCACAAAGAATTATTTCCTACCAACAGGAAATGAATCAGAACATAAACATAAAACTGGAATATCACATGACCATTATCAGTGTTATATAAATATTTTGCACTATAAAATGTATAACCATTAACAATTTTTATGTGCTTCCATCTTTCCTAATGAAAGATTTTTTTGCTTCTTTCTAATTTTATATCTAAGCAACTCAAAAATTCATCTTAATAAGCTGAATAATCTTTGTTTTTTATTGAAATTAAATCATGCTGTGTTTGAAAAATTAATAAATCTAACAATTTAACATGGGTAGAGAAACTGGAGATAATGTGAAAAAAAACAATGACAAAACACAAAACAAACCAAAAAGAAGTACCTGAGGCGTAGTTTGCGGAGCTGCCTAAGGACGAGACAGATCGCGTATCGGACAAGGAGCTGCTGCTCGCTGACCGAGAGTACTGCATCTGTGATTCGCAAAGCATCGAGAAATCCTTCCTGTTGACGAACACAAAATCATAACGGTTAATACAGCAAATAATTTTACTATTATACTATGCCCACACTATTAAATTGCATGTGACAAATAACTGTGATATGCCCATATTTGGGTACATAGCACCATCATATTCATATATGGGCATACAACACAAATTTGTCACATACAATGTGACAGTGTGCATGGAGCTTAAAAAAATCTTCATTTGGGGACACTATAAATACAATTATTATATTTAAAATTTTTTAAATTTATTTATTTATTTTTTACCCTGGGTGACCTGATCCATGCAAAAAAGCATTGTTATCCACCAGGGCCCATATAAAAAACATCAATGACTTATCAAAAATAATCTTGCAATTTTTAATGTTTATTAAATAAAAATAAATTTACATTTTATAAATTGTGACCGGCTCTGGCAAAACCAGCCATTTGTAGGAAAAATTCAGAATTGAGTTTATGGTGTTTTTAGATTCTGCATGAATTCTTCTTTAAAGCAGTGTTTATTTGATGGAAATTGGTTGAGCATTAGTGAAGTTATGAATATTTAATTCATTGGATATCAGTCGTGTAGGTTTTGAGAAAACGGCTCCAAAGATTCAAAAATCAATAGTTTATTATTAAGATTTGTATTTAAAAAATAATTTTAATATACTTTTCAATTACATTTAGTGATTGATATTTTTCAGAATTGTTCTTCAATATGTCTTCTTTAAAAAAATGCAAAGACATGAAGATGTTCAAAATTCTGATTCTCGAACGTTATGAGTGCTTGTGGGAAATTAAAAATTGCGACAAACAGCGGATTTTGCCAGAGTCAGTCACAATTATTGAATTATTTATCCAGATCATATGTACTCTCTTGCAATATTTTGCAGTGTAGGACATTTTAGAATCATTTCAAATTAAATATTAGTTATCACAATGCTTTTGTTCTAAAGCAATCTGATTGGTTCAAGTTAATGACTTACTTTGCTGACGGATTTCTTGTGATAACTAATGTCACTCGGTTCGTCGCTGAAGCACTTCTTAGTATTTGAACCGCTCTGAAAAAAGAATCATAAATTACAGATTGTGAAATACTCTATAGATGATGTGTACACACTAACCTCCAGATGTTTTTCTAATATTATAATAAATAAATAATTATTTGAGGAAACAAACAATATGAATTTTAACCACTCTGAATATGATTCAATTAATCACAATTTTTCCAATGTTTATTTTTTCTTTTTTCATAGGTATTTGTCACAAAAAAATTTAATAGACGGAGGATTCTGAGGATCTGATTTTAAATAAGTAACCTGTTACTTTGAGTGACTTCATTAGCCTTGTTTGGGGTGATTGTTGAAAAATATAAAATAAAATGGACCTTTCCGATGCAGTGGCGGCACCAGTGGGGTGGCTTAAGCCCCCCCACCGGACAGGTCAAGCCCCCCCCCGCCAGACAGAGCTCGTCGGGCAGTCAGACCATAAAACATATAAAAATAGGCCCACACCAAGCCAACACATGTCTGTCACAGTCTGAGAGTGCCATTTTCTGCCATCTAGAGGTTGATGTTCTTTAAAAAAAATCTATTTGGGAGGGGGAACCCCCTCTCAACCCCTTCTCCCAGCTCGAGCCTACGAGCTCTAGTCCCCCAGAAAATATATCCTTGAGCCGCCACTGTTCCGATGGTCAAATTTTATAACTGAACAATCAGAACAGGGCCACAAATATGTATGTTTACGCTTGTAATAAATTACCATTCCTTGTCTTATCTTAACATATTTAACACACAGAACATTCTAGAATTACATTTATGTGACCAAACAAATAGTGTAAACCCCATTGGTAAATATAGAAACACAAGAGACTATGTGGAATCCAGAAGTATTGTTTGGAAGCTTCTGAAATCTTGGGTACTGTAGAGGCAATAAGCCTATTGGTTAATTATGATGTAAGGTGACCAATAGAATGCTCTGGAGTTGTGTTGTACACCTAGAGTTATATAAGCTAATAGTTTGGTCTTTCTGGAGCTCTTTTTGAAACACATGTTCATGTGAGTGTTGTTTTGAGACCGGATTCTTGTTGGAGTTTATAAAGAATAAAATTTTATTTGAGAGTTGTGTTACAAATTGTGAACTGTGTTCATATTTTATATGTCAAAGAGGGATTCCTAGTCATTTCTTTACCGCTCGGAAATACGTCAAGTAGAAATTAATGACAACGTTGTAATTTATAGGACCTTAGCAACAGTATCCAAGGAGCGGCGTTTAGTGGAAAAGACCATCAGTGGGAAAATAGCTTTATTTTGTTCTGATAAATTTATAACACTGGGAACATGTTATTGTATATCATAAGTTTTATTTAAATATTGAGGTCAACATAATATAGGTTGTAAAAAGCCTTCATCGTTTGAAAAAAAAAAGGGGAAAAAATTTTATTTCATATCTACAGAGTATTATAGAATTTAGATTAATCAACTAAAAATAATTTGCTTGTATTAAACTACACAAATATGAAATGTCATGTGACCGGAATCAAGGAATATGATTGGACAATTAAACCTTACCTTTCATTGGTGACTCGTAGAAGACTCTCTCCATTAACGCTCAATATCTGATCGCCTTCAAATAATTGACCTTCGGAAATTAATATGTTGTTTAATTATTTAACCTAGAAAAAGCATTAGTGTGGATGATACAACAATCTTCGCAATTGTCTAGTCAAGGCTGAATTAACAAGATCGCATTTGTAAAATTAGGCACCCACATTAGTTTGACAATAAAATCAGCTGCAGGATGACTGATAGGATATTCTTATACTTTGTTAAATAATATTTATATTAATAACAATATTAATAGATAAAATAAATTTATTATAAAATAACGTGTTCAACATATAATCCATTATTAAGAATAACGTTAATAAAAAATAGCTGTAATAAAATATTAACAATAGAAATCAGGCCTTGAGAAATACATTCTATGACCATGGAAATTATCTATAATATGCGTTCAACACAAAATGTTAACTCTACACTACATAGCTCAACAGTTGTTGTCTAAAGCAATAATAAACACACACAAAATATTTTATCTTATAATTTGCAAGTTAGCCATATTCAATGGGAATGAAATTTCTTTAAATTATATATTTAACAAAAAGAAAACATGACAATAATAATAACAATAATTATTATAACCATTATGCCAAATCTTTAATACATTTCAAACAAAAGAAATCATTACTTATTTTATACAGTAACTGTTAAAGATGTATTGTCACCTGAGAATGACAAAAAATCATAAAAATTATTATCTTTCACATTTTGCAGTTAAGTATAAATTATTAACTTGAACATCATTCCATTTCTCGAGTTCATTTTGTGTAAAGCGCTTAGAAGCAATGTTTTGCATTAAGCGCTCTATAAGACTAATATTACTATTATTATTATAGAAATTATTTCATTAAAAAAATGTGTACACTGATTTTTATACTGGATAATGATAATAAACATAATAATAAAACACTTCCAGTGACTGGAACTGTTTTTTTTTTTTTATCATTTTTTGCTGTAAAATTAGAGGTAAACATTTTTTATTATATACACTAATTCCTATTCATGTTAAGAATTCTTATGTTACTTCAAAATGAGAAAATTAATTTCAAAAAATGATTTTCATGATATTTTTGGTATTTTGCATGGGACAATACATCTTTTAAATGTAATAACAAGAGGAGCAAGAGCACCGCCATAGACACTAATATAATTATATGCCACTCACCTCCCTTGGCTGCAAGACCTCCGTTTAATACCCTCTTCACGAATATCCCATAATCCATACCACCATCCTCACTTCTACCACCGATTATCTTAACACCTATAAAATAAAAAATGTCTCATCTTATTACATTTTTCATTAATAAGTTTAGACATGATCCGACAGCCCTCTCAGAGGTTTTGCCAGGTAATATGAACCACTTTAAAAAAACATACTGTCCAAACAGAAGGTTTTCGATGGGTCTTTCCCTAAGTATACATATAATAATTATTTATTCTGCTGCTACAGCCTAAAGCATAGTTTCCTTAAAACCGCTACACTGACGCTACAGTGTTTTCAGTTCTATCGTTGTACCGCGTATCAGTCCTTGACGCAATACGGAAGGCTCCCTAATTCCACCGACCAATCACCATCACCAAAAGCTGTTGGCGATAGCATGTAGTGATTGTATGGAAACCAAGCTTTAACACATTCAGACAAGCATTTTTTTCCTAGTTGCTAACCATATGCCAAAGCATATAGGGTGCCACCATAAAGGACACCATTCCCATCAACTGTAATAATAAAGCCTAAACGAATGTATGGTATCTATTTTTAGATCGCAGCTTTCAGGGCAAGATTTTGTGTTCTGAGGACTACAGCCGTTGATTTTACATGCAATACAAAAAGTGCTATGTTTGGAAAAGTTTTGGACGGGTACTAAATGGCTTGGGGCTCTGAGTGAAACTTGTTGGACATAATCTTACGTCCCTGGCTGCACACGTGTTAACTAAAGTTAGGAGTATTGTTTGAAGGTTTGCATGGTGAAGTAACAATATACTTAATGCTTGCAGTACACCACGACCACGTATAGTAGATAGTTCTCAAATAGAACTGTTGTTTGTTGAGAATGTCTTGACATTTCGAACGAGTTGCTTCAATATATTCTCCTGCTAAGACGATTGAAGCAACTCAATCAAAACGTCACGATATTCTCAACAAACAACAGTTGTACCGCAAGCATTAAATATATTATAGTTAGGAGTGTGTGAAAGTATGATGGCTTAACAAAAAGAAAAAAAGAAAATATTCAGATAATAACTAAAATAAATACAGAAAAAAAAATTAATTAAAAATAACAATCATAATCATAATTATATTATTACACAGCTTATTATCTCCTTATATTTTGTTGGTCCATTATTTTTAAGTCATTATTCAGTAACATTAATTTCCTTTGAAGGATTAATGATAGCTGACTTGAATAGCAATCAGGATGAAAATAAGAGATCAACATCCAATTTGGATGGATTAAGATAAAAATCCAATGGATTTATATGAAGTGTCGGTTACACTTGAAATCTATATATGGTGGACAGATGACAAATGACTCACTTTTCATTATAAGCAGTATTTTGCATCTTGCAACATTTCGCATTCTACGCTATTTTTTTATAATGCGATTGTAATTTTTTGTTTCTATAGGCTAATTCAAAATTTGATTGCAAATTAAATAATGGACAAAATTAATAATACCTTGCTTAGAATATCCATCTGTAATCCACATAACATAAATAAATTATTACAGTATTATATTCATAAATATAATAATGCAAAGGTCTTGGATATTAGTTGTCCTCTATTATGTTTCATCAATAACAAAATATATTCATAACTTTGTACAGTTTCTCGAATCTTGGAATTTTCTATGTGGCAAAGACAAGCCAAACTAATCACTCCTCGCAAAAAATCTATAAGAAGCATATCTGCTGAATAACAGGCCAAAGCTCACCATTTCTTTGTTGACAAGTTTTAATTCAAGCAATATAGCATTCATAATATTCAGGTAGATAGACTAAAACCTGTAGAAAGTCTCTCAAATTGCAATCAATGGCCGTATTAGACTGGTCGTTCTTTGTTAAACCATGCCTGCCTGCACAGAGGTAAAATCCTACTTAACGAATATGACCAGGCGAATAGAAAACTGGTAAATACTTAACAAATTAAAATGGCTATGTAGTTATCGCGATATCTGCATGGCTATTTCTGCTGGTGGCAGTATGGGTTTTTCGTTAAAAAAAAAGATTTCATGTAGTTTTTGAATTCTGTTAGCCTACAATTATGTTTTTTTTATAATATGTGGGTAAATATTAGAATTATTATTTTCTGCAAATGTTGCTAAACTGACCAATCAGCCATGTTCGTTTTGGTCACATGGATAATTTATTGCAAATTAACGTACTCTGAAAGTCTATTTTACGAACTAGTTAAATGAAAATAATACTCAACGAAATATCGTGGTCAACGAAATGAACCAATCAAATACAGCAAATACAGTATAATGCCCCAAATAAAAATTTTAAGAATTCTTCGAATCAATGAATGAACTCTAATAGACAATTAAAAAACTGAAAAATGTTAGACTTATATAGCCCTTCATGTCAACAAGGCCTCTAACACTTCCCATTATTACCCCTGGTCATTGGATCAAGCAAATATGAAACACATACTCAGCCCCATAGGGACAATTCCATAATATTGCAGCTGCAATCAGCGCATTTGTGCTTGAACCTACCAGGTACCCACTTGTTCTCCTGGGTGGAAAAGACAACCGTAGGTAAAATGCCTTGACTAAGAAAATGCACAGCAAAGGATTGAACCTCTGACCTCAAGGTTAAGAAGCAGAACCTCAACCACTGCGCCACACCACTCCTTCATTACATAAATATTCTCATTTTTGGAATATTTATATCTACCATGCTATATCAAGACATAATTTTTAAAGACCAACGTAGAAGCTACTTAGAAAATGTTGTACTATGAATAACTAAATAAATATTAATGATAGTAATCATATGTCATCGTAACTATTTAATGTCACATTACTTGAACTTGTTAAATGCCTCGTAAAAATAGATATGATATAAATAATCGGAGTCACCTTTCATCTCCAAACAAAATATTTAAAAAAATATATATTATTACTTAATACATTATATTTGTCATATATTCATGTATAAGATACAAATTTACAGGACAGTGAAATTTGCTTTCTTTCTTTTGAATAGAATAAGGTCTATTCATTTATGATTTCTCATACCCTGTAACATCAAATTAAGGCCAAAAAAAAGAAAATTGTTTGTTTGTCCGCCTCCATCCACCCCTAACTCACTGAAAAAAATAGGGAGAGAAAAACAAAAAAGGGGTTTTTTTTTTTGCTTTTTTCTTTTCAAATAAAAAGAAAATTAGTCTAAAGTTGTTGTCTGATGCAAGATATTGCCATTCTAGGCCTCTGTGGGTTATTTTTATTCTATCTGATGAGTATTATCATTTTAAAAAACAGAAGGGCAAACAAACAATTAATTTTTTTAGGCCTAATCATCATGTCATTATACTTTAGTATACTTATACAGCAAAATATAACTAGGTCAGATATACCTACATACCTAGGCCCTTCTTACAGTCTTTGAATATGAGCGTGTCTGTGTCGTCCATATGGTGGCTGTGTACTGGAGTTGGTCCAGAACGTGGAGTTCCTTCCAATGTGCTGTAACAGAATGCATTACATTTACAAATTAGACAAATAAAAGTTTGTGTTACATAAGCACAGGCTGACACTAAGGTCTTGAAAATCAAGTTGTGAATTCTTTTAATTTTGGGTAAAGTGATGACTAGCCATCCTTCTCCTCCTCTTCCTCATAATCAAGTTACCGTCATCATTATCATCGTAGTCAGGGGCGGATTTAGGGGGAGGGCCCGGCCCGGCCCCGGCACCCCCCCCCCCCTTTTGGAAGGTAAAAAAAAGGAAAAAATAAAGCAAAAGAAAAAAAATGATAGCCCACAACGCCTCAAATGTTATTTTCAGGCGTCTAGAACACAAAATTTTCGCGGGGGAATTCCCCCGGACCCCCTAGGACATTGTTGTCTCAATCGGCCCAAATTTCGGACATCTCTGGATCCGCCCCTGGTAGTATCTTCCTCATCATCATTCCTAACCCTCATCGTTACTGTTACAGTAACATCGTCATCATTGACATACCATCATCATCATCGTCGTCGTCATCATTATCATACCATCATCACACGTCTTTCTGTTCTTTTCTGGGGTCCGAAATTATGGACCAAGCTTTTTAATGACCTAAAAAATTAATATTTTTAAATACCATCTTAAGAAGTCCTTGGTCTCTCTATATGGCAATTAATAACTTTTTTCCCACTATTCCTTTATATTATTATCTGTGTCACAAACATAATGTGTCTGGTCATGTATCTTAAAAAATGACCCGGATTGGAATTATTTTACTTTTACAAGTATATAATTTCTTTGTATCTATAGTTTAGATAAACATAAGTTCTAAATAGTACCAGTCATTTTTTTTTTTTTTTTTTTTTTGTAAAAGGTGCCTTCGTCTTTAAGCTCAGTGAGTTTTTCTTGCAGAACTTACAGTATGCTCTTTCCTATGTGACTACTGTATATAATACTGCATATTTATTATTACTTCACTGTATGGAAATAAAGTATATTTGATTTGATTTGATTTATGTACATCATTTTCTAGTTGTACCTGATTTCAGCATCTGTGAGTGTGATGGTTTCTGACATGCTTCACAATTAAATTTAGTCCTAAAAGACAAAAATTAGCATAATTATATTCTTCACATGAATTAAAATAAAGACAACAAAAATAATAGGCAACATACAGTTGAAGGACTGATGTCAAGGATTCGAACTACTCCCTTTGCCAGTCGCTTGTGTATGCACACGACTAGACCTAATACTGTACTCCCCAGTGAGCAGAGAAGGTTGCACTTTGTGCCGGTTCGCCAAAGTAAGTATCCAATGACGACTTGATGATGAAGAGGAAATAATGCTTGGGCCTTTGATCATTGATTGATACTATATAAATTTGTATTACTGTTATATGTGCCAAGAGTTACCAGTCAGCACGATTCCATATAGACAGCACAACATGTGTAAGGTGCACATCATAACGAACCGACAGTTTTTAAAAACGATTTGCTCAGACTCTAGGCCTAGGCTAGGCCTATAACTAACAATTAGTATTACAAGTTAGGAATAATCTAGTAATACATAAGCTTCAGTTTGAGAACGTCACGCATAAAATAGACTAGGTTGAAAAAAAGGTTAGGGTACTGTAATTTTTTTATGCTATGCTAGGCCTAGTGTAGTAGTAGGAAGGTTGACGTGTTACACACCACGCATACAGCCTGCACCCTTCCTCCCAATCAATGTACTGACTGGTTGGGTCTGCCTGGCTGGGGTCTGGTACGACAACTATGATATTTCAACAGCGGAAAGTTGTAACAACATAAAAATATAAAATCGAGAGTAACATATAATTAAAATAACTTACTAACTATTTATATGATGGTGAGAACTGCAGAAAAATAAATAGATGACTAATGATCTCTGACTGCACAACATATTTTTGTCAGCGCGTCATTTTTGTTTTCAATGTTGTGAGTACAGTGCCCCCTATCGGAAGCCAAGATAATTTCCCACGGATTAGACTGTTGTACGCAGTCGCCGATAAGTTGCATGCTGGTTACCATGCGAAATAATAACACTTTGTCATAACCTGCATTGAATTAAGCCGCGTTTGTATCATTAAATTATACAAGTATATTTATTATGCCTCGTTCAGATGCTTATTAAGCCTACTTTCTTTCTAATTTCCAACATATTATGTTCAGCGCTTTGATCATTTTGGAAGCGCTTTCAAGTAAAGATTAATGATTTTAATGTTTTTCCATGATCATGACGTCATCTGATTTGATTAGTCAAAATATGTTGTTATCGCATATCTGATAAATCGTTACGGTACCGAATCGGTCTAGTGTAGAAACTTCTCCTATTTCTTTTATTTTCTATATGAACAATTGCTTTTTAGTTTTTTGTTTTGTTTATCGTTATCGTTGAAGTACATATAAACAGGCCTTTATGGTTGACATCAACCACATTGTGATTATGGTACTGACGTGCAGATCACAGGGTCCCTTCCTTCAAATCTAAATGTCCACTCGGATAAACCTTGTATGACTTTTTATGAAATAATTTAGCAATTTAAAGAGGCATTTTGGGCGATCAATAATTTCTTATTCTTTCTTCCTTTCTTTTACTTTGTGAAAGGGGAGGGGGGTGGGGAAGAGAGTCCTGATTCAACATCCTCCCAAATCTACCCCAATGATTGGATGATGCAGTATGAAGCCTAATTTAGTTTATCTTCTCGCTAGCGCTGTCGATACTAAGAATGTACGTTGGAAGGACGTGTGTTTGTGGAACGACGGAGTAAAGGGGGGGGGGCATACAACAGCTAGGCCTACGATATAATTTATAATTCATCTGCAATGAAAACAGACAATTATAAGGCATTTTTGTATTTCATCGAAAAAAGAAACACTCACGAAGTTGACAGAATTTTATAACCAAAAATTTCCCAAAAAAATATCTTGATTCCCGTTCACACACACTGCAATACTGTGTCACGGTTGCACCATTAGTATTAGGGTGGGGGGAGGGGGTGTGGGAGGGACTGACCAGAATACAGACGAAGTGTAGATAGTGATTGTTTACTATTTTTTTGGTACAGGTGTATTAATATTAGGGAGGTCAACGTTACGGTGTCATTTCTAGTCTAAGAATTTGATTGGTCCACAGTTTGTTACAATCTATTTTGACAGCTCTGAAGTGCATGATGACGTCGTAATGTTGTCGCATAGTATAGTTTTAGCATGGCCTCGAGGCTAATAATATTGTGAATGTGTCTGGGTTCATGCATTGGGATTTATATACGCTTGCATTTGGTTCGATAAGTATAATTGTACTGTTTATTATATAGGCCTATATATAGGTCTATGTATGCAAAATGTACATAAGGGAATGCTTCGAACTATTTTTAGAGGAATTTCAACATGAAATCAATAGAGTATAGTTATCTACACGTTTGCCTTTACGTGTGTACAAAAATATCAACGGTATATTAACAAAAATGACACTCACAAGAAATCAATTTACAGACAATGCCGATTCCAGCAGGGGTAAACTAAATATTTAATCGGTTAAAAGAGATGAAGGTGTGGTGTTAAGATTTACACAACTCACAGCTACTAAATTTCTTATCAAACACCGGATCATCATTCAAATTTATTAGTAAACCTTTTATTTTTTCAATATTAACTATTTTTGCATTTGCAATTACAGTATCTCATCAAGGTGGACATACAAAAGAAAATGTAAATTAAAAAAATGTATATTCAAATTCGGTTTGAATTTGTTGCTTTACAGTCAGTCGGTAATAATTAATGTTTGGTCTGCTAAATCAATGTTGTATATCAACTTTACAAAATAAACACGTACTTCTAACTATTGAACATTGCAAAAAGGCAACACTCAAAATCATTGGATAATGGTAAAATACAATCATCCATTCCACCCCAACATTGCATTGTATTTTACAAAAAAAAAAAGTAGGCCACACAAAAAAAGAAGCATGTTTCCCGTCCAGAATCGTACAAAGAAACCAGGATAAATCCCATAATCAAATTTATTAACTTACTTGACAACTGACCAATAAAAACAGGGCCACAAATATGCACATGTCCCACACATTCTGGGTGTTTTACCACAAGTAAAAAAGTGTGGTGGTCGAAAAACAATGATGCAGAAGACGAGAAATATGGTTTTATTTTTAGTTGGCCTAATACTAACGATACAATATTGAGGGTAAAACAAATCCCTGTAGATAAAAATCAACATCGTCAGCACAACCATTAATAAGGAATCTCTTTATCTCCAATGGTATGCTTAGGCCTATCTCGTGAGACACTGAGATGTAACACCAATGCCTGCTGTACATTAAAACATAGAGATAAATGTTGAATTCCCTCTAGCTAATGCCCACTAATAGATTTGGGTGTTAACATAATGGGGTAGTTCTGGTAAAATAAAATTAATTGGATCAGCCCATAAGATTAGAAAAATATACATGAGAGTAGGATACATAGGTTATGCATTTAGTAAGGGAGTAAAATAGATAAAAGGAGATGAGGTAGATGATGAACTCGAATATGGGATGATATTGGGAAGAAAGAAATGTAAGGAAAAACAGGAATGGATACAAAAATCAAAACAGTGTTGAGTAGGTTATTAGAGTATTAAAGAATGAAATACATACAGTACAATGAAACGCGAGAACTGTGAGGATCAATGGGTACGGAATTGGTTATGGGTAGGATATGAAATGAGTAAGTATTATGCAGAATGAGAGCTATGGAATTGGAAAATAGATGTGTAGAAAATACAGTAGAATCCCTATAAATGGGACACCTTTTGGACCAAAATAAGTGTCCCCTTAATAGGTGTGTCCCCAGAATAGGGGTCGGCCGTAGTGTCAAATATAGTTTACTTCATTTCCTGGCCAAAAATGTCCCCATAATAGGGATGCCCCCTTAATGGATGGTGGGGTGTCCCAAAGGAGGGGGTTCTACTGTATTAGTGTTTAACCACTTGAAAAGAACCAATAATGAAAATAATAATAATCTTATTAGCTGGACTACCCCACAGGATACAGACTCAGGGGTCCATTGTACACAAGCGCATATATGGACCCCAAGTATATGGTCTATTGTATCCATATATGAAACACTTAACTGTTAACCAGTGCTACCTTTTGAATATTCAGTTTACAATTGAAACTGCATGAATTCTTACTATACAACAGTACAGTTAAAGCATTTTAAGTATTCTGTTTTCAGTATTGGGTCCATAGACATGAATGCGTGAAAAAAAAGGATGTAATTTCCATTTGTATCGCACACGTTCATAACATATAAAATTTAATCCTTAAACCTATATCAAGTTTTTTTTTGTACAAACAATACTATTACACCTTGCACTCCAGAAAATCAACAATGCCTTTTCTTTGTTAACTTTTACATTTTTTTTATATGAAAAAGAGTAAGAACCCAGATGTTTTACTGAGGATATTTTTCATGCTACACCGCCTATATTTACTTTAAGACATTGCAGTCCATCAATTTTACAATTCTTGCCTTAAAAAACATATTTTTTTTTTTAACATTAAGGAAAAGGTATTTTGTACTATGATACAAAGGTGTAAGAAGCAACAGTAGAGAGTATAGCGCCCTCAACATGGGAATATGTATTATCATACAGCATATGAACCTCAATTATTATATACAGTACAATACCTTTCAAGATCATAAATCATTTTGAGGTCAGAGGTTATTTTCGTCTCACTTCAGTTTGGACACAAATCCATTAAATATGTCCTATCTATCTACAACAGTATCAAAGTATTATTTATTAAACATTGACAGAGACACTTCTAATTTAGTTGTTGGGGTGGCTCAATTAATAAGCGACATGAATATTGATGCTTTGCGAAAAACAAATAATGTGAACATAAAGAAGTCGTCAGAGCTAGCTATAGAGACATTTTCACCCAATAATGGTTTAGCTTCAGGCCTGCAAGATCATTTACTTTCATTTGATGTGTAAACAGAAATCTCATTAATATTTATGAATATATTAAGACATGATGTGTAAACAAGACATCTCATTCATATTCATGAATATGAATATTCATAGAATATAAAATGTATGCAATAATCATAACATTCATAAATGCTTTTTCTTACATGACATTCAAAGATTTCTCTTGGAAAATTGCATTGAATACAGTATTCATAAAATTAATGCATGCATAATTATAACATTCATGAATGTAACTACTTACATAAAATTGTCACTGGTTTCTCCATGTATTAAATACTCACAAATATTCATAGAATTAATAAATGCATATTATCTCTTTCAGTCTTATTAAAAGATTGCTGAATGCTCACTGTTTACTAAATAATTCATGTTCCCAACATTTTAGATGTTTCTCCCACAACTGTGCACATAATAAACCTACAAAGATATTCTTCAGTTTTCAATAATAATTCATTTAATTTAAAGGAAATAAATGCTTTATATTTTGTTTACACTTAACTTAATACAGACATTTTACATAATTTAAAATACCCATAAAATTAGGGAGTATTCTAAAGGCCAGTGACCAGATTTATTTAAATCTATCTCAGCATTTAGGAACACAAGATTTGACAAAGCATCAAGAAAAGTGAGGAGGGAATGCAGAAGCCAGTCGACAGGAGAAGTTAACAAAATGCTGCAATGCCTTTCCCCATACAATATAGTCACCAATTCTATTAATAACAACATTAATAATAACAATAACAATAATAATAATAAAAATAATAATAATAAACAATATTAATAATTATTAATTATATAGCAAATAATTATTAATATTTAATATTTTTAACAAAAATAATTATTTTAGCGCACACATTCATTGCATTTAGTGATCAAAATCCCTTTTTATATAATTGTACATTGATATCTACATAACAGGGGGTACCGACCATTCTCACATGGGGGTAAACAGGCTAACAATCAAAAGGGAGACCTGTTTTGTATAAACACTTTACTCAACCAAAGAATTTACATAGAATACTATAATTAATCCATCCATAAAAACCCCCACAATATTCAGACAAATTGGATCAACTCATAAAAAACTTCCACTAGAGTATAAATCATTCAATATATGTAACATGAACAAGATGCATATAAACTAAAGATCTGTTCACATTGTGAAACTGTGATATCCCCTAATGTGGGTACGATATGGCATCATCAATATATATATATATATATATATATATGGCATCCTCTATATGTATACGACATTACATCGCCATGCTCATAATGCTATCAGTATATGACATCATCATGGTGTGATGTGACATTATCATGGCCATCTATTATCATGTCAATCTATGATGAAAATCACATCATTTGTCACAGAAAACCTGATAGTATGAACAGAGTTTAAAGCTTTGTCCACACTATCAAAGTTTGTGACAAATAACTGTGATATAGCCCATAGTAAGGTCTGTCCACACTTTCACATTTTGTGACAAATTTATGTGAATGTGGTATGTCCATATATGTGCATGATGATGCCATATTACACCAATAAGGGACATATCAGTTATTTGTCACATAAAATTTGATAGTGTGAACAGAGCTTCAGTGTGTAATTAAATATGACATCACCATGCCCATATATGGGCACATCACACAAATTTGTCGCATAAAATTTGACCGTGTAGACAGAGCTTTAGTCTAGTGATACACAGCCATAATTATACTGCCAAAATGCTGAACAAATTCAAGTCAAGCAGATAGGGTTCAACAGACTAATGCTTTGTATAAAGATCCGATTCATTTGATTTTGCTATCAAATGAAAAATTTCATAGTAGATCTGATGCAAATGTTACACACTTTTATCAAATAATTCATCCCACCTCTAGAGACAAATTAAAAATTAATTTATTAAACTTGCATGATGATGAAGGAAGAATCCATTAGTAGTTTTCATAATCTTAATTATGTAGACATCACTTTAACCTCAGATTTTTTATATAAATTGAAAAATAATACTAATAAATAATAATAATAACAATAATAATAATAATAATAATAATATAGTATTCCTTATACAAGCTCAAAACCTCAATTATATATCTGAAATGAAATAGTTGACAAAATAGGTACTATTTACAAATATGTTTAAAAAAAGACCAAAAAATAATAAGACGTCACTGGCGTGCAGATGCAACATGAACGGCGGTTGTGTCCTGAATATGTAATGTACTGCAAGTAGTCTAGGTATTACGTCGATGAAACCTGATATCCAATGGCTCATCATTACAGGTGCCCTCTATTGCCCAGTATATTCTTGGTGGACATAATATTAACTTTACAAAAGCACACAACAGTTGCTCTCTTCTGTCTTGCCACGATTTCTTGGACCTATACAAAAAGGAAACAAAAAAAAAGAGAAAAGAAATTGTTACACTAAAAATTACTGAGTTGAGTGTGGAGGAGCAGGAATAGGCAGTATTTTCGGTGTGAATCACATCAAGAATAAGCCACTAAGTCCGAAAACTTGATTCCAGCCCTTCTGGTGGTGAATTTGGCTGTACACAGGAAGACAATCTCCTACTCTTTTCAAAAGAGTGTACTGTGTTTTTTTGCGAAGAAAAACCTGGAGATCCGTGATATTCAACCTGCTCCGAGTAAAAGACACAGGTAGTTCACAGTGCCATTGAGTTATACTGTAGTAAGAAATTAACAACAGCAATGCCATGGAACAGAGTAAAAATATACTGAAACAGTAAGTCACCCAAGGTAGCTAGTTCAATAACTTCACCCTGTACAGTAATTATCAATAAACATTTAACAATTCTATGGAAATATGAGAATGAAGCACTTTTCTAGAAATTACTTTAAAGTAAGAAATCTAGTACAACAACTTTAGCTGTATATTTCTGCAATGAGATTTATCTACGATTTCAGCTTTTGGTTTGTACATCCAAAACCTGGAGCATCTAAACTAAACACACATTCAGTAGCAAGATCAGTGAAATGTTAATAACGATTAATCACAATGTAGAGGTTAAAGGTCAAATGAGATATCACAGCACATCTTAACTGTATTTTCAGGATTCTTTAGAATTGGAAAGTAGCAGAGGACTGATCGTCATGCTGAGTCACATAAGAAAATCAGTGTGCACAAGAGAATGAGAACTAATGAAATGTCCCAAGTGATGTTATTAATAGACATAGACAAATAAAGAAAACAGACTACTGAAATGAAGCTTACCATCCCCAAACCAGCGGATTGTAGCTATATATTAAACAGAGTAATTAGCATAAGAACGAGATAGTATGGTATCCTTCAGTACAAAGAAGCCATACTTCTGGCAACGGTAAGTCTATTCCAGTAAATGTTAATGCTTACAATGTGGAGAATTATTTCATTTTATTCAAAAACTGAAAATTCAAAAGATCATTTCAATCTCATCGGACTAATAGAACATATCTGATCATCTTTTTCTATTTAAGGCAATCTCTCTTATGTGGAGAATACAAACATATATTAAAAAGTCAATTTTCCTTTTTTGGTTCACCGGTGCTGGTTCTGGGATGGCCTCAAATAGTATTACCATTTATAAGAGTAAAATAAAAATAATATCAAATAAAAATCAACACACATTAAAGAATATATCATACATTAAGGAAATGCCAAGTTCAATAAAAGGTTTATTAATAAACTAAAGACAGAACAGAAAGTAGGCTACCTAAAAATAATACTATATAACAATCAGCACACATTAAAGAATGTCAAACATTATAAGAACTGATGGAATGGTTGAAAAAAGTTAATAAAAAAATAAATAAATAAATAAAAAAATAAAAGTGTCACTATTTAAAATATTAAAATAAAAATAATACTAAAAAACTATCAGAACATACAAAAAAATACTGCATTAAAAGAACCGATGAAAAATGATTGTCAAGTTTATTATTTAGACACTGAAAAGAAAACAGGTTACCGTACTGAAATAGTATAACTATTTAAAATATTATTAAATAAACAATCAGTACACACAAAAGAATATCACACATTAAGGAACTGATGAAAGTATTGTCAAATTGATTAGTAAAGGACAGGAAAGTAAGGTATGTAAATAGTATGACTCCTTATTTAGCATCTTGAAAATAAACAAATACTATAACAACATTCAGAACAAAAAAAAATATGTCACATTAAAAGAACTGATAAAATGTCAAGGAATGAGAGATAAGGAAAATTTAGTTTGAAAAAAATCAGAAAAGAAAACAAGGCTACTACTAAAATATTACTATTCAAGTGCTAAAAATATTTAGCAGTATGTGCAGAAACTGAAATTTCATGTACAACTTAAAAGTCATTGTAATTGGAAACTACAGTCCATCCATTACTATTAAGCTCAGAAAAAATATAATCTCAACAGAAACATCTAAAGTATTTTTATGAAAAGAAAGTGGAATTTTTTTTTTTAATTAAGCTTACCTTGTGAATTCGGTTCTGGTAATGTTTCTCTTGCCAATATATGCATAACAGTGGTTTTTCCAATAGGCAATTGTAAAGCTGAAAGAAAAACACAGACACTTTAATTTATTTGGATGTCTATATATGGTTAAAATGAATATTACCTATAGATCAAAGAAAATGAATGATTGAAAAAAAAAAAAAAAAGATTGGGCATACAATATACCTAAAGCAGATGTTAATATTCGAAGGTAGGCTTACATCCAAAATGGGTACTGTATGTAAAATTTGATATTTGTTAACATCTTGTACATATTTCTTATGTACAATGAGAAAATTTTATTCAAATACAGGGTCAGATTACAATAAAACGGTCTTAACTCAGACCTTGATTTAAAAGGCGCGCGATCGCGCCGGCGCTCCTCCGCGCTCCTCGAAATTATGCGAGGAGAGCAATCAATAGCGCTCCTGAATTGCCTGACCAGAGGCGGATACAGAATTTTTCAAAGGGGGTGGGGGCCAACAGTTTTAGAACAGGAAAGTGAGTTGCACATAACATTGATTTGCATTGAAATTTTTAAAACTTAGCGGCAAAACGAGGGGGCGCATGCAAAGAATTATCTGAATATAAGTTTCTTTTTATCTCCATGTAAAAAAAAAAATTTGACAAATTTATAGGGACCCAGGCCCTCTCCCACCTTGATCCACACTGGATATAATATGATATACAATACAGTATGTCCTACAGTCGATGCCAGGGGACACATTACGCTGTACAGTATCAAGAAATGGTTACCATACACCGAAATTGGACTTGCTTGTACTTTTACCAATGGTATGCTTATTGTATACTAAACCTTATACCACAAGTGATGTGTTAGTTATCAACGGTGGTTATAACACATGCGGGCTTATACCAAAAGGAGGACTACGCAGTACCAAAGACTGGAAAGGGGAATTATTATAGCAAATGTGGACTGCTTTAGTGATATCAAAGGTGTTTTATACCAAAGTTCATTCATGGATTTTTTATTCAATATTTAATATACAAAATTCAGGCAAAAAAAGTTAAAATTACAATTATGTCATAAAAACAACAAAATTACCATAAAAAATGAGTAAGTGAATAAATAAATAACGGGGGAACAGAAGGCAGTATAATGTATTGTAGACGAATCTAAATTGCACATTATTTACATTGCCCTGGTTGGGGTCATTAAAAAGTACATTAAAAAGCGAAATTACACGATTACAGGTAAAAACGAGTAAAAAGAATTGTAAACTAAATTGATCACATCAACATTAAATCAAATTTAAACATGGAGTTGGGCTAACAATATACCAAAACTGAATACTGATACCAAAAATTGATGTACTAAAGGTGTGATGGACGTAAACCAAAGGTGGCATGGGATTAAACCAAAGGTGGACTTACAACAAGGTCTACCCAAAAGAGATTTACTCTAAAAAAGAAGGTGGATTCATTGCTTGATACCAAATGTGCAATTAAACCAAAGTTGGACTTGCAACCATAACGTAGAATACTAGAAAAGGATGGGCTTTATCCATAGCATCAACAGAGTCTTGTTTGCATCTATACTTAGGCTGTCAGCTAACATGCATTTAATTAAGTCCAATAATAGTCAGTCATATCCATGTTCTATTTGACACCCGAGATCAGCTATTGATCGATGGACCGAGACAGCTCGTATGCCAAGTAAAACCATGACATCACCAACACTCAATCTTTCATATCACATGTCAACCGCATTGTTTACTCCCACAAACAACAGAATAATGCCTTATTGGTATTAAGACAGGGTAAAACTTGATACGCCATCTAAACCGTCATTTTCTGAAGGTCAAACACCACTCTCTGCCGTCATACTCCTCTGCATTTTAAAATGTTTTCATGCGACATAAAATAATGTGGTACATTAAAGTTAAACCAAGAAAATAAAAATCTTTCAATATGAAAAACGAACTAAATCCTTGAAAAAATGTTAATAGCAGAAAGTTAAACCAAGACTTTTTATACCTTTGTAAACTTGTATAGAGTATATTATAGATTGTCAAAGGAGGTAATTTAGTAAACGATTCTGATGAGCCCATGCAGGCAGAGGAAAAAACAAAAATAATATCTTATTAGCAAATAAAACATTGCAAGTGTGTATACAGTAGGTCTGTCGAGAATATTAAACATATGTCCATATTTAGTCATGATGCGCCTATATATGGTCATATGATATCATCATGACCATATATGCGTGTCACATGTTTTTCTCAAATAAAATTTGATAGTCTAGATGGGACTTAACAGTAAGGGTAGAAAAAGCAATAGAGGGTACCATTACATCCTGGCTCAAAATCCTATCACAAGTTTGTACAGAATGTGATGTGGTGTAAACAATTCAGTAATGGGATCGATAAATGCTTTATGGCTACTGTATGTTCCCACACGGCAGCTAACGGTTACAAGGATCCGGATCATGCTAACCGTTAGCTGCCGTGCGTCCATACGAGAAGATCCGGATACCAAAAATATGATGATTGAATCACTGGCCAATAAGAAACTGGAAATTGTAAATGTGTATGTGTGATTGGTTGATGATAGAAACTTGTTAACTGATAGCGCTTGCTAACTGTTAGTGGTATCCGGATACCGCTAACGGTTAGCGCTAACCGATCGGCCATTCTCACACAGGTGCTAACGGTTAGGGCTTACGATTAGCTCCCGATCCGGATACTAGGTCTCTTGTGAGAACCAGGCTTCAATATATTTGCAGGGCTGCTGCAAAGTGCGCGACCAGTGGTTGGAGGCATTGACTTTTAACCCGGGGGCATTTTAGAAAAATTCACAATTTTTTTTTTTTTGCACATCACAATTTAATGCATAAATATAATATTTTTGCTTACTAAATGTACTACTGTTTTGCTATAAGATTGTAAAGATAACATTTGTTTCTGGAGGCATTTGATCAAGATAATCTTCATGGTCGGAGTCACAACAATTTTTTTCCAGACCTGTTTATTTGTGAGGAAGAAATGAAGATTTAATGTTGGGAGGATTTCCTGGTGGAAGAGGGTCTGATAAATCAATTTTTCCCTTTGAAATTATAAATGTTTCATTAAAGCTAGTGTGCTAACAGGCCAAAAAAAAAATTATGTTTGTTTGAAATTATCAGTGGGCAGCTGATTTGGTAAACAATTCACAATGAAGATTTAATGTTGGGAGAATTTCCTGGTAGAAGAGGGTCTGATAAACCAATTTTTCCCCTTGAAATTATAAGTGTTTCATGAAAGTGACTGTAGTGTGATAACAGGCCAAAAATAAAATGTTTGTTTGAAAGTATCAGTGGGCGGCTGATCTGGTATACAATTCACATCACTACACAATCACAGTTTACGATAATTCATGAACAAAATGTGTTCAGCATTTGTATTATAGACTTTACTGTGTAAAAGTATCCAAAAGTCATTGACAATAATAATAAATACTGGTACACAATAAAAAATTTCACAAAATAATTAATTTGTGTTAGTTCCTGGTAAGAAAAAAGGTTTGCTTATTAAGGAAACATGTGATGTCCTGAATTGGATTGGATTGGATTTATTTGGTGTAAACACCAAGGACAGCCCACGAAAGTCTAGAAGAAGACTTATTTCCAGTGGGGTAATTCTGGTGGTGATTGGGCAGTACACCGGGAGACAATCCCCTACTCTTTTCCAAAGAGTGTACTGCGTTCTTTAACATGTACATGGGCCATAATGGGACCAACGGCTTAAACGTCTCATCCTAAAGACGGTGCGCTAATTGTAACTTGTATTTCAGCCTTCTTGCTGAAACACAAGGAGAGGCAGCGATGGGAATCGAACCGGGGACCTAGAGATCTCCACGGTTCAGCGCACACACAGTGGCTACCACCAGATTAGCCGACTGAGCTAAGCTGCTAAACAATTGGTAATGTACGGTATGTTCAAAACTGGGCATATTGTACTGTACTACAATCAGATTTTTGTCTGTCAGATGTCTGACTAGATTTAGCCTAATATTGCTTGCTTCTTTTAGACTATAATATTATACTAAAAGTAATACATACTCTTTAATACTGAAGGTTCATGATTCAGTTTTCTTGGGCAAAATTTGTTTAGATTAACTTTGCTAATTATTTAAAACTTATTAAAACTATTTTAGCAATTTCCAATATAGTCCTGTCTAGACTCGCATATTTTATTTGACAAAAACATGTGACATGCCTAAATATGGTCATGATGACATCACATCATGATCACAGAGGCACATCATGATCACAGAGGCACATCATGACTATATATGGGCATACAACAGTTTTTGTTTTTTTTTTGTTTTTTTGAGAGAGTTTTAGATACTGACCAAAATATTTTAGTTTCCGTTTTTATATGATTTACAGACTTTAACCAACTATAATTTAAAAAATTATAGCCACAGTAATAAATCCACAGTAAACAGTAGCAATGAACAGAAAACTATCTAGGTCACAGAATGGCCAGAGACATATAATACTACCTAATCGTTAAGACCGTCTAGAGACCAATATGCGGCAATTTGCCTCTTCTCTGTTTCGTTGACCGTTATAATGTACAGCGGACCTAATAAACTCCTGATTGTCAATTGACAATTCCTTTTTTGTATCATACATGCGCAGGGAGATAAATTTTCAAGTGAATTGTCAGGCAGGTCTATTAATAAATGATTCTGTTGTGTCAAGTAGATGCAACCAAATGACAGGACAATAAATCGACTACATTCACTAATAAACTACTTTCTGTAATCAAGTCTATGTATGATACAACAAATCTGGGAATAATATAAATCTAATTTGAATATCTAAAAGCTGGTATAATTTTAAAAGGATTAAATAAGATTTTACAAGTAAATGGAAATTTTCCTACAAAAATTCTTGTCTGCTAGGCATTTAAATTGAACTTTAAGAATATTTTAATGTTTTGTTAACCACTGTGGTTACCATATTGGGTTTTTTTTTTCCTGGATTTTTACCAAATAAAACAATATTATTATAGTAGGAATCTGATAAACTGTAAGAACAACAATTGTTTGA